CGATATATATTCCAAATCCATGCTTTTTAAGATAAAAAAGACTCGTTTATTTTTCCAAATTTCTATTTTTTCATTATTGTTTTGATAACATCCAACAATTGTATCTATGCTTACTCAAACGAAATTTTCATCGGAAAACCGTCCATTTATATCTCCGTATATTTCTAGGTAAACAAAATTTCCCCTTCCGAATCGATGCTGTTTTTTAGAAAAAAAAATCATTCACTTCTCGCTATTAGTTTTCATACAGGTCTATAAATTGACGATTTCCACGAAACTGTTATGTTTGATTATATCGTCTCTAAAGGCTGAAATGGCATGATATCATTGAAAAAGCATTCATTTTCTTTTTAAAAAAATACTGACTTTTCATCTTTGTATGAAAATAAACGTAAATTTATTCCAATGATTGCCAGATCTTGCATTCAAAGAAGTGATGAACATTTGTTCTTCAATGTTTTTTTTTATTCAAATTTTATTCGAAGACAAGCTTTGTTAATTCTTCTACCTTTGGAATTTTGAAAAATTGCTTCGAAATTCGAAAAATTGTTAACTCCAGAATAAGATGGGCCAGCTTCAGTAAAGGAACATAGGTCTCTGAACCAGTTAGATATGTTCCAGTTGGGCCTTATGTATTTTTCAGAAAATTCGGATAAATTGTTGCACCAGTCTCAGTGGGGCATATAGTTCAATGCAATTCTTTCTAAAAAATAAAAGTGTCTGATTTAAACATAAGTAATGTTTCTTTGTCGCAATATTGCCATGATTCTAGAGGTGTAAAATGTAATCAGAGTCTATCAGAGTGATTTGACATGCAATTCTTATCCATTCATAATATATGTTTGCAATTTTATACTGACATTGTTCTGCATCTCTTTTCTTTTCTGTTTCTTATTCCATTTTTTTATATCTCATCGCTCAATAATAACAAATTAATTATTTGTTGTAACAAAAATATGCTCGTTGTTTGCTATGAATATGAAATTGAACAGAAACAACAACTTTCACAAGTTATTCACATATAAAATGAAGAGGTTCGTTTTTTTCTCTTCAAAAGTTCAAACGTTTTGTGTTAAATATTTGTTTTGTCATAAATTTTTTGCGATTTTATGGATGAACATACTTTATATTTTGAAATTCAAAAAGATTTCTGTAATTCACTCAATATCACAATTTGTTTCGATTTTTTTTTCTCCTTTAAATTTAAGTGTATACAGCCAATTAAAAAAAAAACATAAGTAAATAAAATTATCTAAATTTATTTATCAAAATTTTAACGTGCGTCATTTCATTTATTAAACCAACGAAGAACGACACACTTCACGAACGACTCTTTTGTCCATATTTTTTTAAGTCTAAATAAACTATCGAGCACTTGAACGAACTTAATTTGCAATTTAACAATATACAATTTTGAAGCAGTACCAATTAAAATTGTTCATTTGGATGACATTTTTATTTTCGACATATTTTTTAGTTTTATTTCTATCGTTTTATCACTTAAAAATATGATTTTTCATTTAAACATTTGTATGTGCCTGATTGTTTTCAATGAAAATGGCGAGAGTTACCAAGTCATATTTATATTCAGACCTTAGCTCAAGTTTTACAAAAAGATTCAATTATTCAAGCAGAATTTGGCTGCAGCTAGATTTTAAGCTCGGGCTAAAATCCGTTTATATTTAAAAAAAAAAATTAAATAAATGATATTATCAATGACCAAGATGGTCTTTTTTGTGTCAAAATTGTTATTTACTTCCAAAGTATGCCATCATTTCAATTGGATGAATATTTCATTTCAGAATTAGCTTCCTATCATTAGGGAAGTGTAAATGATTCATGGTCAATTAAATATTGATAACACATATAATTTGATGAATTTAAATGCATTTACTATAACATTGACAAATACACTTAGACCTTGGTAATTGATTGTATTGTTTTGTGTTTTCAATTGTTCATAACAATTTTCAAAAGATAAGACAAAAACTAAAGAAAAATAAATGTGAGCCTCAGACCAAAAATAAAACAAAACATATGTTATAGAAATATTTCTAGATTTTTTTTCCAAATGAAAAGGCCCGAGAAAAAAAACGTTAGGTAAAAAGAGTACATACGGTCCTCAAAATCGGAACAAAATACAAATTCGGGTAGAGACAAAAAAGACAAGCGATATGTTTTGTTTTGTTTTTAATGTCTGATTTTATTTGACTAATTTTGGCACTGAAAGTTTATGTTCTTTTATTTGGCATCCATAAATCAATATTTGGTTTTAGTTGAAAACAATGTATTTGTTGTGTCATTCATATAATTGGTACGAGATTAACTTGGTGAATTGTTTGTCAATATTCTCTTGCTCTCAAAAATGATCACAGCGGACGGCAGTTCACGTGAGTGACGAAACCACATTAGTGTGTTGAAAAGTCGACTTGCTATATATACACGTAATTTCCAAATTCTAACCTGGAAGGCCTTTAGCCGCGATTGGTGTATGGTTGGAAAGCCCTTGGGCCATAGATCAAGAAAAAATATCAAATTTTCTTATAAAAATCATTTGGTATATCTGTTTGGTCGCGATTCGGCGTAGTTGTTTCTGATCTTTTTGACTTTTGTCCTCACGGTCACCGAGGCACATCCACTTGACATATGCATTTCGATGGAAAGTTTTTGAAGTGATCTATCGAATGATGCAATTTGCGATCAAATTGGGGTGGCCAAATTGGCCAAAAACCAAAAAGTTACCGTTCGGCCGGACACATACCGTCCATTACCTCGAAAACAAGCTCAAGGATTTTTTTGAAAATTTCACCGATCTTAGGCCCAAGTCCAAGCTATAATATGCCGCATAGCTCATATCCCAGAAAATTCTTGTTTTCAAGATATGGCCTTCGATAGTACTAAAATGGCCAAAAATGGCCATTTTTTCAAACAATCGCTGTGACATACCCAGGGCATATGCATATTCGTTGGAAAGGTCTTGAAGTAAGCTATCGAGTGATGCCAATTGCGACTTAAAAATTTCAAGTTCAGGTGACCAATTCGGCCAAAAATCAAAATTTTACCGTCTGGCCGGGGCACATAACGGATACTTTCTCAAAAAAGTCTCCATAGTTTCCTGAAAGTCCATGTTTTAATTGTATTTCAAAATTGAGAGGAATTTCTGCAACGTTTTGAATGTTCAAATGTATATTAAGTTTTTATTCTCAGTACACAGAAAAATTATCTATCATTTATTTTCGTCACAAAATTGATATCAGAAATTTTGTGTTTCATATTTTGGTTTCGTCACTCGCTCTTCACCTCGTCAGAGGTTTTACTATTTATTGTATCTTTGAGGCAAAAAGAAATTTAAATCTTAACTATGATGCAAAGTGCATCGCGCAGAAAGCCGTAATAGAGAGTTTTTATTCTTCTTCAAATCAGAACGAATGTGGGAGCTAGTTACTTGCAAACAATTCATAAGGAATTGTCGACAGATTTGATGTGATATACACCTTTGTCATCCAGAAAACTATATTCGCAAGTAATACGTTACGATTTTTGGCAGAAATATGTGGGCTTTATTTGTTTCCGCTGTCGTCACCTTAATGTGTGATCGAAGAAACAGCGTCCTTTGACTCCAGTTTCATTCAACGGCCAAATAATAAATATGCACTGAATTCGAAAAATTTAAAACAACACACCATACAGTGTATTGAATAAAGAAATCGACGCTTAGTTTTGTCGTCAATTCAAAAAATAGTAAGATTTTATAGATACTTCAACATGATATTCTGAGCGAATACGAACCAGTCATCATATTTGTATATGTTCGGTGTGTTATCAAATAACGGTAAATTGTCAATATAGACATCGCAGTATACAAAGCATATCACAGTGGCGATGTGAAAGGGACCATTTGTTTTCGTTGTATTTTATTACTATGTAAACAAATTCTTCCATCTAAATTTATTGGTTCAATACAAATTGTACGCACCAAACTCTTATCACAATGTTTGTCCACATTCTCTCTCTCTCTCTCTCTCTCTCTCAAAAATATTTATGGATGCCAAATAAAAACATAAACACTTTCAGTGCTTAAATGAGTCAAATAAAAACTTAAAGTTAAAAGTGAACATACAGAATTGAGAGTTAAGACCTAGGTTAAGACACTAAACCGATGTGCCGTTTTCCTCTAAGTATTCTATATGTTGTTTTGACTCTAAGTTCTCTATGTTCACTTTGAGCGCATAATAATTTCTTGTGCTGTTTTTTCAAAAAGATTTTCTGAGGCTCTCAAATTGAATTGAAAATTGTTTAAAAAAATATGCTTCGCCTGTGGTTCGATTAATCGAATTTTTCTTTTCAAATACGATATTTGCTCAATAACATTTTGTTATTTCTACAATGCTTTTCCACTGTATGATCTTCTTTTTTCCACTTTTGGCCGGTTTTTTTTTCTTGAAGAAACCAATGCCAGATATTTTTAAAATTTTTATTTATTACCGTCAAAAATCAAAAACGCGAAATTCTTACATAAGTTTGTTTTCAATGTGCCGAGTGTGTTGATCGTTTCGATTTCGTAATTTTTTTTCTCTCTTTATATTATTTCACATTTCTTTTACTTTTTTTATTAAAATGGATGAGAAAAAAATGATCTGGCATTCGTTTCCATACAAAATACACGATAAGTGATGAAATTGTCAAGTGCATCTGAACATTTCTCTTAGCAAATCTCCTAGCAAATATTTTTTTCAAACGAATTCGAATCGAATCCGAACCCAAAAGTTCGTCTTCTATACTTACCGAAAATGAACTCAAAAATGAAATGAATGTGATGAGTACATATCGAACGAAAACAAAACCTAGGATTTGATGGTTCCTTGACATCTTTACCTTGCGGTAAAACACCACATAGTTTTGCTTTTCACAAAAATTGTTATATCCTCATTTGCGAACAATTGAATTATGATCGATAAAAGCAAACGAATAAGAAACACGGTTATATCTGGATGATAAAATTATGCTTTTCGTTGGTGGTCGTTGGTGTGCTTCATGCGATTTTTGCCCGAATAGATGGGCAAAGATTGTCGACGTCGTGAAATGGCTTCGGTTAGATCATAGTCGATGTTCGATTGTGTCAGAATTCGTTCAAACACTTCAACAATTTTTGCATTTTTCTTGGCGTTGCACTCGATGTAGCCGCAACCCCAACGTTCAACAGCCTCTTCAACAATTTTTCTATCGACACGACGTTCATTTTCCTCAAAAACATTTGCAGCAATCACAATGGGAATGTCCGCATCTCGGGCACACACAATCTATATCAAATGTGAATAAATATCAAATTTAAATAATAACATATTGAATTCTATACCATGCAAGAAATATTTTGGTGTAAAATACATTAAGACACAGACCTGTTGCCGTAGCTCTTCAATTTCTTTCCATGAATCTTCGTCATGCACCGAAAATACCAATAGAAATGCATTTCCATGCGATATAGACAGTGCACGCATGGCTGGAAATTGAAATGTACCGCTGGTATCAAGAATTTCGAGTGTCAATGAGGCGCCGGTGCTTAGATTATAGTCCGAAACATAAAAATCTTCAACAGTTTTGATGTGGCGTTTTGTAAATTGATTGAATAAAAACTGCTTGATTATAGTTGATTTACCAACTTTAGCCGCGCCAAATACAATGATACGACGTTTTTCTTTGAATTGCGTTGAATCATCCGTCTTACTTTGACGCCGGAAAAATGTTAAAATTAGCGGAAGTCTTGGCGGTGATCGATTCAAATCGTCTCCCGACATTTTGCACTTTTGCACTTTTGCACGTCTGAAAATAGAAAAATCAATGCACAAATTCAAATTTTATTATCAACCAAATTTTTTATTGTTTATCGAATTAGGATATGATGAGCGCAAAGCAATAGCATTATTATTATTATTATTATTATCATGTTTTAATGCATCGAATTACATGCGAATCATTTCATACAGAGGAATTTTATCATTTTCTGTTCAGAATTCACGGAAGCTGCATCAATAGTATTGATTCAATACCTATATTTACATTCTACAGAAAAACAATTTTACCAACAGAATCTATATTTGGTCAGGGAGGCGGCTTTAAATTTTCTGATATTGGCTTCGTACGTGTGGTTATATGTATTATTCAAAACGTGGAAATTTATCAAACACACCTTAAAGCTTAAAGTAATGGTTCCATTGAAGCATTGAAGATTCAATAAAATATACGTTTCGCTTGAAACGTGTACGAATCCTATTTTTGTTTATAAATTCAATGTAAAATCATACATATGCTCAGTAGTATGGTTGTTTGTTATATGATTTAGTGTAAACATTTGAAAAGCGTTAGTTCTGGTTTACGGAGCACATATTTCACGTGATATACATGTGACCTAACTCGAAAGAGAGAGAGGGTGACCGAAGTGGAAAATTACAACGCATTAAAATCGAATTAAAGCAATAGAAAAAGGAAAACACAGAAAGCAAACAGATGAACCGATGTTTCAATGTTTGAGAATACCTAGGGGCTTTTATGTTCAAACGTATACTACTTTTAAGAAAAATATTGAAATATAATGCCGCATATCTAGAATATGCGAAAATAAATGTGTATAACTGCACATATTTGGCGTATATTTCGCATATATTTCGTATATATTTCTTGTATGGCATATTTTTTCATTCTCTTTTGTGCGGTCTTTCTTCGATTCTGTGAAGCGTGTACAATGTCAGTATAAAATACATATTATTCGGTGCAGATTTATGCCGTATATATTCGCATATATGATGAATAAGACGCGTATATTGTGAATATGTGTGTATATTTTGTATCATAAAAGCCTAGGAGAATACATGAAGAGTCTCATATAACGATGTGAATCCCTTTCCACTTTTGATGTATATATGTCTCGCAGTGTATGTCGCACAATAATTGTTTTTTCTCTTATCAAATGAACATTAGACAACTTGATTCACACTATATCGGTTATATTTTATTATGTGTGCAAAGTTTCACGGTGATATTTTTATGTTAAGCTGAAAACCACGAGTTCGATAACGGAGAGAAATGCACACGTGACCCTCATAATAAATAGAAGAGGAATCCTCGTACAAAACAGAAATAGATCTGAGGGAGAATCAATTTGTATCTCAGAAAAGTGGTTTATGCTGCCACCATTGGTGTTGACAAGAGTTCCTTGGGTTCACTCCTCTCCCCCCAAAAATATATATTTTAGAACCCTCAAAATTCGGGGAAAATGGCTTTTTTCTCATCAACTTTTGAATAAAGTTGATGATTCACTTCTTTTTGACCAAATTAATCATGAACTGCCAACTAATAATCACAGGCTACGAGCATGACCTACGAACCAAAACATTTCTAAAAAAACTAGTCAAAAGTTTAATAAATGCCAAAATGTACATCTTCGACTTTCATTACTTATCAATTTAGAAACATAAAAATGGACTATAAATGCGGAGAATTTTAGGCCTTTTAACGAATGATTGGAAAACTTACGATAAATTCAATTTCATTTTCATTTGCACATTGAAACTGTATAAGAGGTAAATATCATGAGTACAAATAAGAAAAAATGGAGTTGAAAAGAAAAGATGAAGCGTTATATGATTATGCCTCTTGTCAAGTACTTTTCGTCCTTGATGGTTCAAGAAGGTTTTCGCATCCTAAGTGTACAATTTTTACATAATGCACCGATTAAACAAAAATGTTTGCCTCTTAATCTCTATGGTTCTACATTTGGAGAAAAACACTTTAATCGTCTCGCTTTATGATGCATTAATTAGACATTGAGTTCAACGCTCGTTTTGAATACACCTTGTGGCATATGAACTACAATCTAAATACGATGTTGAAAATAGTTTATTTACTTGCTATTGTTGACAGAGAGAGAGAGAGTTTTATGTCACATTATTCATGACAGAGGGAGAGAGAGAGAGTTTTATGTCACATTATTCATCGAAATAATATGTGTAATGTAAAAAAAACATTTCTTCCAAATTGAATATTACGTCAAGGTCGAAGTTTTCATCATATTTTGCATCATAATGAGACATATCAAGAATAAATCATATTTTTTCTTTGAAATGGCTTAATATGACAAAGAACTTCAAGAAATTGTATTAATAGAAATTTCAACGAGTTTTATAACAATGTTAAAATCTACAAATGTCATCAGCCAACAGGTGGTTCCTTAAAATAGTAACTACATGGGATAAGCATGATATTTATAATCGATTATTTATAAATCGAAACGAAAAATACCAATATGATTGCTAATTTTTGGTATTGGCTCACGTTGAATGACATACGCCGATTCTAAAATAGCTTTTGACTCTTTTGTATAGGTATTATGCGTAGTCTAGCCAGGTGTCGTATAAACACCGAAATAATGTCATAAAATATGGTCATGAATTCACGCATGCCACATCACAAAAATGAGACTTTGTAAGAGGAATATTTGAAAATTGGATTCATAATCAGATTAAATCAACTTTATGAGCTGTAAACTGATATATACGAATGGTATTGCATACAGCCCAATAATACTGATTTCATATTCTATTAAAATTCGTTCTCTTTTCTTTGATAATCCCTGCCCCCTTATTCGATTCCATACTGCTTGCATTCATTGCATCAATTTCAATTTGCAGGTCAATTTCTTATAATTGCGTATATGAGAGAGATAGATGAGTGGATTTTCTACAAAAAATGGATAATAGCTTGCATTCCATCAATATGTGAACATCTTTTTTGTACGTATTATCTAGATGACCTTTAACTTGAAAAATTGATGCGATTACCATATAGCACATCAACGTTCATTTTCTCAGAATAATATAAGATAATGATGTTGATGAATTTGTTTGCGTTCAATGCATCACATATTGTTCCGAGAACCGGATGGAATTCGAACTGGGAGCAGAGTTGTTACTGGCACCAGAAGAAGTGCGGGCTGAACTTACCAAAAAATTACTGACTCTTCCGCGGAAATAATTAAAACAGCTCTGGCTGAGGGTTGATATTTATATGTCAACGAGAAATTATTGACTCTACCCACAGATAGGCTCTCTCTCGCTTAACAGCTGACCTCAGTCGCATCAGTTTATTGGTTGGATGAAAACAATCTCAACATAATGCTCCTCATAAATTACTTGATATGTATTGAATAAACAGAAATTGAAATGAAGCTAGAAATGAAGTGCGAAATAAATCTAAAATTGTTGAATACGACGAAGAATACACTAAATAGCCAAACGCCCAAACACTAAAATTGCTATTATTCCATTATTTTTCTCAACATTCAAATAAACCAAGTGCATGACATATTCCCATTGCCAATCAATCAGCGCTGCCATTACCTCAATAATGATGTTCACATATAAACACAAAAAATACAAATACTTAAATAAATAACATTTCCCAATCACAATTATGAAAAGACTAATAAGAAAAACAAGCTGAATTCATGGTGCAAAAGCATAAAAACGATAACAGAAGTGACAGGTAGAAAACATGGATTAGCAGAGGAAGAAAAAAAACCAAACGCACACTGTCTATATATTTATTCATTCGTTGGTCGCTTCACTTTCATATCCTCTCAAAGGGGATAAAATAATAATAATATTTTCATTTTTCTTCATGCCGACAATAAACTCTCAATAGCCAATTGAAATTATCATTAACATCATCATCGGATTGAATTGTATTCATTGCATTTGTTGCTATGACGCATTGATGTATTTGACCCAAACATTGGTGGCGCGTTTTTAAGAATTTCCACGTTTCTCTATCAATACAACTCCGTCATTCTAGTCGCTAATAGTCGTGCTTTGCTTTTCCGCATGGAATCACCTATGCAGGCATTTTATTTGTCGTCGACACGTGTTTCGATTCGATTCAAATCATCTTTTATTTCCCACTCGTGTTTCGATACCCATTTCGGTGATTTTCTGCTATTTGCTCTCTCTCTCTTTCTATCATTCTTTTTATATATCTTTGCCATTCAAATATCGCAACTAATCGGATTTTCTCTCCGCTAAAAATGCTACAGTTATACCCAAGTATTTGAAGTATCTCTCTCTCTCTCTCTCTGCGTGTGTGTGTATGGCTCCACCATTTGATAAATCATAATGATGATGATGAAAATGTCATAATTGAACTTTGAATGAAATGCTTGGCATAAATGACGAATTTGGCACATGGCATTTGGCATTTTTTTCCGTATAATCAAATATAACATAATCAAAACACACGCAAATTTATTGAATTCATCACTAGAGGTAAAAATTATTTTTAATTTTATTCACTCTTGCTCATCCCTTAAATTCATTCGAATTTTATTAAACGGATTTTTGCTAACTTATTTTGCCCATAATTTGCTTCATTTTTATTGATATATCGTCAAAGAGGCATCGCCATATGCTGGCACTCATAATATCAATCACACGTGATATCAACCGAAAAAAAGATGCAAACTTATCGAATATCACTATTCGACAGCTGTAAAGCAGCTTTATAATTTCTTAAGTTTCGGTTTAAAACGAATCAAAATTAAGCATATTTTCATGTTTTATGGAAGTTTGAAGGAGATTTAGTATTGGAAGAGTGGAAAACATTAAAGGGTGCTCCACCAGTAGTGAAGATTTAGGATGAAAAAAAAAATGGTTCACATTGAAGTCATTGTGATTGTTGGAAGGTGCATTGGCCAATGGCCATAGTTTCGATTTTTCATCCGGAGGTTCACAATGTGACTGGGAATTTGTTTTTTTTTCTTTTTTTGAAGTTTTCTTGAGTTCAATCCATTGGAGCTGTCCTACAGAAGCATCTTTCGTCAACCATCTCTTGGAAGTTTTTTTTGGTTCCCCTGATCCAAACCTAGACCCACATTTTGGAGGGCATGGAAGAAAAGAAGAAAATTTCCAAAATAAGGTCCAAAATACCCCCAATCCCAAAATTGATCCCATATTCGGATTCCTCGTGAAAAATTACCTTTAGCTTCCTATACATCATGTACCCCGAGACTCCCTTTGTACCTTAAAATCGGGTCCAAAAATGAAAAAAATGATATTTATTTGGGGACATTTTTATACCCCAAGGATCACTATGTGAACAAAAAATGTTCGTCTCATTACGGGCTACAACTTTGCCACAGAAAGTAATTAAATATTTTTTGTCGTTTACGAGATATAGTGATGCTATCAAACCCCCAAATTGGGGTATTTTGAACTTCTAAGGGGCGTATCTAGACCCCATATGAATTTGGGGAAAAAAATTTGATGCAAAATATCTTATTTTGGACCCCTCTACCACATCCATCAGGATTTTAAAAATCTGGAGTGACACGCTGGGGATGTTTAATGGTAAGAAACATTTCTCAGAAATTCGGACCTAATTTTAAAGAGAAATCTAGGAAATTGGAACAAATATTGAAACTTTGACATGAACCACGGTCAAAGGGTCTAATTCGAAAATTCAGCCATAATGACTACTACCATAAAACCAAAGGCAAGTAAAATCATTGATATATGTGAGATGTCATATGATTTTTAGTTGAACGAAAACGATAAAACATTTGATTTCAGTTGAGCATTTTATGAATGGGTTTATTCCGCTCCCTTTCAGCTTCATTCTTTTTTCTTCATTTTATTTTGTCGTTCCATGCGTTTCAATTCGTATAAAAACTAGATGCATCATACATTCACTTCGTCACATCACTGAAACCATACAACCATCGACAAGATCTTGAACACACAAAAAAACGGAAGAATCTTAATTGATGTTGAGGCGAATATTTTCCACTTTTAATTGACTTTATAATAAAATTCCTTTCATACTTGTGTACCATTTTTTTTGTTTGTCGTTTGTTGCTTGCTTTGTCTGTAAAAAAGACGCTTTCTACAACGCCATTGTTCGCCCTATTTTCGTGGAAAATTTGGCGACAATTCAATGTTAACAAAAAAAGAGCACACATGCGTTGAGAATCTCATGTGAAATGACTGTACTGTTGTTCGTTCGGGTTAATAACATTTATTGAAAAAAGAAAGTATGAAACCACAAAGTTTATACAAATTGTCAAAAGTCGTTGTTTGATATGCTTATCAATCTGAAATCGCTTGTTCACATGCAACCAATATCTTAACCGTTTTTTTTTTTGACAAAATCGAATGAATGCATAGATACGAAATCGATGTATCTATGTATATGGCTTTGATGTTAATGGCAACATGAAACCAAAATCAAAAGTTATGAGATCTTAATATTATTTTAAGAGGAATAGAATATGAATGGAGTCTAGAAGCTCCAAATCTGCTTCTCGATAGAGTGTTCTTGGAATGTGTTCTCCAAATATACCACACGCTGGTAAGCAGCATTAACCACCTTTGTTTGCGGTTTTCGTGTTTTTAATGTAGCAAAAATCTTGGTGATCGTTGTTCAACATTTTAAAAATGGGTAAAAATTCAATTTCACACACACAGAGATGCTGATAGATCAATAGAGCTTTTCTTTGGGTATAAACACATTTCCGAAAAATTTCTTTCTAATCGTTGATAAATAATCGTGATATTATTTATAGTATTTATAAATAGGATCAACCAACGATCAATTGATACATCCATATATATGTGACAAAAGACATTGAACCAAGTAGTGATTTACTCTCGTATGAATAATAACGATACATGTATTAGCTTTGTTTGAAATCAGTTCAAGAACGATGCTCGAACCCGTTTGCAATTAATTTGAAACCGACATGATTCCAAAAATAAGAAAAATAAAAAAGACATAGAGGAAAGAAAAAATAGATCGATTGTGTGACGTGTTCAATTTGAATTATTAAAAGCCATAAATGGGAACGGAAGGTCAGTGGTCTGATCCATCAGCCGAGAAAAGATTAACTCTTGAAATATTTTCAGTCGAAGAGCGCTGAGGAGGAAAGCTGGTTTGGTGATTAATACGTGCTTACATCCCCATGCGCCCATTGTATGATGCAAACTCCAATGCATATAATTTCGATGAAATTGGCAACAAATTTTATGTATAAATGCATATAACAGAGCCAAACAATGCACCGCATTTGTTCGATTTAAAATCTATGTTCGTTGGCATGTATGCGTTTTATAAGTTGAAATATTGTGAAATTGTTGTTATAAATTTTTTCGCTTTCCCTTTCACCGGCAGATACAATAAGCGAGAGAAAGAAAGCAACTTTTTTGCTTCCTGACATTTCCATTGCATCCGCTCTCCATTTCGTCATTCAAGTCGCCGTTGAGTCTATCATAAATGGGGCAACGAACGACCGTCTCTGTACACACACGCTGAATCTGTGCAAACAATCAACAACAACAATAAAAAAAAGTGCCACACCACACTCAATGACGATGCCTGTAAATTCTAGAGGAAAACAATAATTTAACCAAGAAAACATCAAAGCAACAACCTAAATGGCATCAAAATTATGGCAGAGACAGTTTGAAAACTGGGCCATACATTCAGTCACTCATTTCACTTGATAATCATTCATTCTATGCATTTTCTGGCCACAATCATATCACAATGCACAACAAAAATTTGTTAATATTAGTCTTTAAAATGAAACAAAACCAACAAGTTGAAGTAGATTTGGGTCATCATTAAAATGAGTAGCATTTTTTTTTTCAGGTAATAATGTGTCATCCGATCATCATGACTGTTACTTCTTCAATTTATTGAAAAAGGCTTATCACACAAAAAATCATTTGTGATCAACGCATAAGTAAACACATCTCTCACTTATTACATTTTATGTATTCATTGTGAACTCATAAAAGATATGTGAATGAAACGGAAAATTAACGTTTTGGTAGTAAAAGTTTAGTCATGCACTGACGTCCAAACAACCCTCTCGTCGTATCATCAAACTAGCTTCAGTCTCAATGAAGCCGATTAATGTATAAATTTAAAATTGAAACATACACGTGGATGTTATTTTCCACGAATCTATCAAAAAAAAATATGGGAAGTAGATATATTTGTTCGCGTCACATACGATTTAAAAAAAAACGCAATCACAGCATCTAAACAAATCGGATTGTAGTTGCACGTGCCGTTTTAAACGCGTCTTTTTAAACACATTTCACAGCGATGACATCACATGGTGGGCTTAGAATGGTTACAAATATCACATGGATGTTTTTATTAATGGTAAGTGTACATTTTTGAAATATGTAATAATATGGAAACGATACATGTCAATGGGATTGAAGTAAGTCATTTAGTATTGGATCACATTTGTTTTGTCAATATCAAATTGTACAATTCGGGTTTAATTACTATGTGGTGAATACTTTCTAAACCGTTTGTAAATTTGATGTATTGTAAGGAAAAACACTTGTATTTAATCGGTAGATTTTAAGATAAGTTCCCTTGAATGTAAAAAATGTGTCTTAATGATAATTTTCAAAATTTTACATAGATCGACCAAATTGAATTTTTTACAAAAAAAAAACAAGTGTGTGAATACAAAAAACGGATGTCATAAAACTGGAATCGACGATGACGATCCTTTGTACACCATATTTGATTTTGGCGAAAGGATAGCCACCTGATGCCAGATGAGCTGAAGAAGATGATTGACAACATTTTTGTATGAAGGACCACAGATTCAATGATAACACGAATCAAGTAGTTCTAAACATATGATTTCGGATGGAAAAGTGGAGAAAAAATACGTTGGTCATTATACGCGTCGCACGGGTTGTGAACCTTTTCCGGAACCATTCGAAAGTTTATTTAAAATTTAACGTCATGTATGTTACGACCATAGATAGATTTGGCGCTTAGAGCATAACATGCAGTTACTAGAAACTATAATCTTCGGAATATAATGACCTCGGAACATCGTTGCATGGTGAAAAAAAAAAATGATTGGTATCTCACAAGCATTATTAGCACACATTAATTTGTGATATTTTCAGTCAGATGAATCAGTCTAGGTACCTAATTTTAGGCGCTGAAATGCAGCCACAACATTAAAAGTGATTTTTATAGTTATAAAAACACTTCCATTGTTACAATCACTTCAATTGTTTTCACTCCATTTTAGCGTTTGACGTAACCAAATTGATAAATGTCTGATCTTTAGATAATCGTGATGTTTATTAATGTTCAAAGAATTCCTGTTTTTCAATCAAATTAAAGCGCCACAGTTATGGTGTAAAAGCTCTACACACATTACATTGAACCTTTTTTTCACTCTTTTGAAAGTAAATTTCAGATGTAAATTCAATAGATTACAATCAAGATAAAAGCTACACAATTATTTAAAGTATCTCTTGATCAAGTTATGACGGAATCCGTAAAATTTGAAAAATCCAGTAAATAATAATCAAATGAAAGAAATGACTACACAAACTCGTTTCTCATTTACCACACAGAAAAACATACTTTAGTTTTCATAAAAGTGATCTTTTTTTAAAAATCAAATCGTATCAAAAAATCGTTTTTTAAAAAATCAAAATTTCTATAAAATAGACAATTATTTGGAATTTCGGTAATGTGGAATCGACACATTGATCATAAATATTTAAATAGTTCAAACTTACCAATTTTGATTTAATTAATTAATTTTTGATATATAAATATATATTTCACTCTTCACACTGTACAAAATGAAAACCGAATTTCTTGGTGATTGTAACGGCACAATTGAATCAGAATTCTTTAGTTTACACTTTATTTCTCTTCAGTTTTATTCACAGGTATGCTAATGCTGATTTTTGTCAATAACGGTTTTCCGATTTCGGAGTTAGAAAGTGAACGTTAAGTGTTTATATATTTCGATGATGTATCGTTGAAATCGTTCAACAATTGAATGATTCAAAATTATGATGAGTGCTCGTATTTATACTCGCGTGCTTTGTTCAATAAACCATTTTATCCATGTTTTTACTGCTTGCAATGCGTACGTGCCACTTCGTTCCGTAGAGATGCGTATGAGCGTTTGCAACTCTCTCTCTCTCTCTATCTTGTTGTCCGTCTGTCTGTCTGTCGGTCTCATTCCTTCATTCCTCTGTTTGTTGGAAGATGTACTTCTCCGAGTGTGTGTATTTTTCAAGTTCTCAGTTTTTAATAAAAAAATATATATTTATTTTTGAATACAGATTATATTTATTGTTGTTCAAACAACCAACGCTCAAGATACGCTGGAACAGTATTATACAGTCAATTATTCGAATATTCTGCTAAAAATGCACAATCTATTTATCAATTTCATGATGATGTATTACGAATAAGACTTATTCATGGATTACATCTAATTAGGTTGACTCCCAAAGCATCAAAACACTTATGTTAATTGATCAAAGTTCCGTACAAAATTGTTGCGTTTCAAATCAACACTGCTTTCCAATTTTTCACAATATTCTTTTTCTTTCTCAAAACGCAAAAAATCACTTGATTTAACTGGCACTTTGTTTTCGATTGCTGAAATGCGCTTCCGCTTAACGATGTTTATTATGTTTATGGACATTTCGGCATGAGTTTCAAAACTAACTTGAATACATATAAATAGAATACGCATATTACGTGAATGAACATAATTCCAAGGGCGCGTAACGACAATCACTGATGAGAGCACACATTGATTTGCGATTCAACCCCATTAATTCTCTGCATCGATTTCAATCATTAATGCAACAATCGTTTCTTTATTTGATATGTGCAATTGTGCATATAATATTATTGCGATGCCAAAGGCGCACAAAACCATAAAAAAATGAAATCAAAATTGAGAGCAAAAATCATTAAGTCTAACGCCAAGCACATTGACCAGAATGGAGTAAATATAGTTTATAAATTGTGCGTAAATATTAGCACGTAATTGGTCCAACTGTGTGACAAATGGTCTGAACACTTAACATCCATTATTGGATTGAAATGAGAACAAATCCAATAAATGGCTGCAACAGCGGCTGCATCATTCCTTCGTAAACATTTTCATTTTTCTTTTCGTATAGGATGCAATTGAAATTGCAAAAGCAAAAATGAATTATGTCATTAACAAACCACACCAAAAAGCTAAATAAAATAAAATCAATTAAACTCCAAAACTATTGCGACTTCAATGCACATTGATTGCTGATCTGTTGTATAATCAACATAAGAGAAGTAAAATGCAATGAAATTTAAAATTAAATTAAACAAATGGTCGGTAGACACATCGTTTTATAACAGAAGAGTACGGTGAAGAAACAACTGGTGACATTTGATGGAGAAAGGGAACATCCCAACCATATTTGAAATTAATTGCTTTTTAAGCTCAAATTAAACTCAAATATAGGACATTC